TTTTTTTTTTTTTTTTTTTTTTTTTTCAACGGAGGGGGAATCTTCCAAAGATGTTATGCACGATTCGTCATCCTGTCCGCTAAGGGTGCACCTCATTCGGGACCACGCCCAGACTATGTTATCACATAATTCAGGACTTGCGAGACAGCGCGCCTACGTACTAAACCCTTAACTCCGACGTCTGAAGCCTTGTGTTTCGCCTTGCGGGACCGCCGTTAGGTATTACGTCGCAAGGCGTAGCTTTGCCAATTGGCTCTTCACACACGCCTTTCTGGCTTATCTCTCGTTCAGTCTTCTCTTTTCGCTACTGCGCTGTCGTTCTTTCGCTCTTAGCTCCTGGAGGACTATTGCGGACCACGCCTTAATTCTGCTCCACACCGCTTTTGAGTTTATCATGTGCCCCACGATATTGTCAGGCGTCATGCTCTCCTTTATCAGCTGCTCTATGTCTGTGCGATCTGCCTCGTATTTTCGGCAGTGGAAAAATACGTGTAGTACGTTTTCGTCGCCGCTACCGCAGAATGAGCACTCTGTCCCGTCATCATGCCCATATTTGAACAGGTATTCTCGAAAGCAGCCGTGCCCCGTCAGCAACTGTGTCACGTAGAAGTCGGTCTCTCCGTGTTTCCTCTCCACCCACGCTTTTATGTTATTGATCAGCCTGTGCGTCCACCTCCCTTTTGTCGTCACATCCCAGTGTCTTTGCCATTCATTTAGACTTGCATCCCTCTCTTGTTTTCGCTCTTCGATTGTCAGGCACCTGCCTAAGTTTCGGGACTTATCGAAGACTCTTTTTAGCTCCATGGCCATTATTTCTGGGGGCATGATGCCCGCTAAGACTCCGACCGCCTCGTGTGACACAGTACGGAAGGCGCTAGTCACCCTGATGCTATTTAGTCGGTACACCGACTTTGCCGCCTTCGCGTAAGTCTTGCGCTGCAACGCGGGTCCCCAGATGGGTGCTGCATACATTAGTGTGGACTGGCTCACTTTTGCTAGAAGCGCTCGTCTGTTTTGACTCGGTCCGCCGATGTTAGCCATTAGTCTTGTTAGAGCCGTGGTCACTCTTGCCGCTTTTTCACAAGCTTTATCAATGTGCACCTTGTAGCTTAATCTCGAGTCTATCATGACACCCAGGTATTTCAGCGACTGCTGTGTTTTGATGCTATGTCCATCGATGTTGAGCGTAACGCTCTCCATCTTTTTTCGGCTTGTGATCACCACCGCTTCGGTTTTTTGCCCTGCGAGTTGGAGATTCGTTGCAGCGAGCCAGTTCTTTATTTGCTGCGCCGTGCTGTTGCAGATGTTCTCAACTTGGTAGAGGTCTTTGGCCACTACTGTTATTGCTATATCATCGGCGTATCCGATAATTTGTACCTCCCTTGGCAGCGGCAGTCTCAGAATTCCATCATAGAGGACAATCCAAAGTAGTGGCCCAAGTACGGAGCCCTGTGGTACTCCACCCGTCACCAAGTACTTCCTGGGGCCTTCGTCGGTATCATACAGCAGAAGCCTGTCAGATAGGTAGTTGGATACCATCCTTAGCAAGTAGGGCGGCGTGTTCTTTCTTTCCAGAGCACTTAGTATGTGAGGCCAGGATGCCGAGTTGAAGGCGTTTTTTACGTCGAATGTCACCACCGCGCAGTATTCCTTCGTGCCATATAGCCATCTTGTTCCTTCTATTGCCTTGCCTGCGACATCGGTGAGCTTTTTAATTGCATCAATGGTAGACCTCTGTCTTCGAAATCCATACTGGTTATCGGCGAGACCCGGCAGTTCCTCCTCTAGGTGCTGCTCCAACCGTACACAAATTAATCGCTCCAGTATCTTACCAAGCGTATCCAGCATACAGAGAGGTCGGTATGCGCTTGGTTCTCCTGCCGGCTTGTTTGGTTTCTGCAGTAGGACCAGCCGCTGTTTCTTCCAGATTTTTGGGAAGACGCCTTCTCGCAGACACCGCGTAAAGAGTTCGGTAAACGGACCCGTGTTGTGCTTGATGGCAACCTTCAGAGCCTTGTTTGGTATTCCGTCTAGGCCTGGCGCTTTGTCATTACCAAATCTTTCTGCTGCTTGGACCACCTCCTCGTCTGTAACCGTTGGTGCTTCCATTCCCTCGGGTTTCTCCGCTTGCGGTCGCCGACCTCCTGGCGTTTGCACAGGGAAGAGAGTTTGCACGACGTCTTTTAGGAGGGTGGGACAGGTTGGTGCCTGGCCTTTACCACCTTTTATTTTCTTCATGACCACCTTGTAGGCATCACCCCATGGGTTTTCGTCCACCTTTTCGCAGAGCTCCTTAAAGCAGCTGGTTTTGCTGCTTTTGATGGCTTTTTTAAGGTCACTTCGCTTCTTTTTGAAGGCTTCGCGCAGCACGGCATGTTCCATCGAGCCACGGTTCCTTTGACACAACCGCCTCGCCTTATGACACTCACCCCTTATGGCCTGGATTTTTTCGTTCCACCAGTACGCCGGCTGCCTGAGAGAGCCGTGTTTTCTCCTGCACATAGCACCGTCGCAGGCTTTACTGATGTGCCTCACCAGTGTTTCAGCCTGGAGCTCAGTGTTATCCTCAGTGGCCATTTCCTCATCCAGCACGAGTCTGAAGAGCTCTTCATCCAGAGTCTCTACCTTCCAGCCCCTCGTTTGCACCTTCCTGGTGATCGCCCTTTGTCGGCTCTGTGCACGATTCCCTAGCTCCATCATGATTGCCAGATGGTCACTGTGCGTATAGAGGTCCGACACCTTCCAGCTCGTTGAGCGCACCAAGGAACTACTAGCGAAAGTAATGTCAATCACCGAGCCTCGACCATTCTTCTCAAAGGTATTTTTGTTCCCCGAATTCAGAAGCACCGCATCAAGTACCGAAAACGCCTTTAGTAGTGCATCTCCCCGCCTGTTTGTGTGGACGCTACCCCATTCCACTGCCCATGCATTGAAGTCCCCTGCTATAACGTTCATTGTGGTGGTCCGGACTTCTTGAACCAAACTGTCTAGGATGTTCTCGTATTCATTTTGTGGGATACTTGGTGGTATGTAGCAGCTATAAAAGTTAAAACCGTCTACCTTCGCTCGTGTGTAGTAGCTTTTACCAAGCAGCGGCTTTTCTTGGAAAGCTTTTCCTCCGCATGTCCATATTGCAGCTTTGCCTGTGAGGTCCGATATCCATGCTCCACTGTCTATATTTTTATACTGCTCGCTGATTATTGCTATGTCCACCTTCTCCTCGTACACCGTTTGCCTGAGCAGCTCTTGCGCTGCTTCGCAGTGGTTGAGATTCAACTGCATGACTCTCATTTTCTTGATTTCTTGCACGCCTCCTGGTATAGCGGACACCTCCAACTACCTATCTGGTGCTCGGTGTTCTTTCTTCCCTGGTTTTTGCATGCTCTGCAGTGTGGCTTTTTGTCGCAGGCTTTCGCAAAGTGTCCATTTTCTCCACATTTTAGGCAGCATTGACTTCTGTCTTCCGCGTTTTTGCAGTCTCTCGCTATATGGCCATATTCCAGGCACCTGAAGCATTTTTTGGGGTTCGGTTTCTCCCTTACTCTGCACACAACCCATCCTATCTTTATTTTCTGCGCGTCAAGAAGTAATCTTGCCTCCTGCGCTGGGAGATTTACCACCGCGGTTTGTGTGCCCGCATAAGCCGCCCTGATGCTTTTTATCGCACTCTCGTTAAGGTGGTTTAGCTCCTTTATCTGGTTGCGGATGGCCTCGGCAATATTCTCCTTGGTGGTAATCTCGTCCAGGTCACGGATTTCTACCATCGTCTCGTGGGTTAGGGCTCTGATCTGTGCCTGGTCCCCTAGAAGCCTACCTATTTTGCTCTTGAGTTCGCCCGTGTCCTTCATTTGCGTCTCCTTAAGCTGCAGCAGTATTTCACCCTTCACCGTCTTTCTGATGCGTGATACGCTCTCGCCGAGTTTCTGCAGCGCCTCTTCCTTTTTTACGGTCCTTAGTATATCGCTGTAGGTCATATCTCCCGTCCGAGCTATAATGATGGCATCTGGCCGTGGTGGTGGTTTGTATGCCATCTTCTTTTTGCCATGTGACCTGCGTTGGACCTCTACCCATTTTCCTTCTTTCTCCACCTCCTTCTCCTTAATCTTGCCGGAATTTTCGTTTGGCGCCACCTTACTCTGTTTGGTTGCAGGGTTGGTGGTCACCTCCTCCTGCGTGGTTTTGTTTTTCTTGGGTGGCGTCCTACGCTTTAGTTGGCTTTCATCTCGGGGCCTTTTCGGGGTTTCAGCAGTCACCGGTATGTTGAAGATACTCCGTCTGCTTGCCTTTATTCTGGAGTACTCCTCCAGGGCACTCGCATGCAGCTTTGTTAGTGAGCTGAGTATCTCTCGCATGCTATTGTTTATTGAGCGTTGTGGCGGGCACATTGCCTCCGTCAGCCTCTTAATAGCATCTCCGAGCTCCGACATGTAGTCTCCGTTCTGTTTGGCTCCCTTCATTTGAGGCTCGCTGTCTTGTAGTGCTGGTGGCGACGATCTCGTTCGTACCGGCTTCTCCACGCTAAGCGCCTTTACAGGCGACCGAACTAGTCTTGACGCACGCTTGAACGGGTCAGTTTCTGCAGTCGGTGTTCCCTGGGACGGGTCTGCCCCAAGCACCTTGCAGCCCCTGCCGTCCAGGTTTTTCGCTCCGCTGCTGACTTCGTTTACATTGTTGTTGTTGTTGTTGTTTTTTCTCATTTTGGATTCCATTCTTTTGTTTTTGCCAGCGCATCGTGTGCAGGGGGGCGGGCCGAAATAGACAGGAACGGGTATACCCTCGGGGACTATGCCCCTACCCCAGTTCCTTGAGGCCTGTCCTTCGCTTTACCGGTCCCGGAAAACACGGACGGACTGGCGCTCGCCCGGGGCAACGCGGTCTACTACACCTGCGTCCAATGCACACTCCCTGACCAGGGACCAAAGTGGCTGGTTACTGATACGCACCGCGGCTGACACCTCGGCAGAGCACGCTCACATCACCGTCTCTACCCCGCCAGCGGAGAAATCGCTGTAGGGATTTCGAGGGACTCCCAGTGCGCCGCAGCGCGTACCGGTCTGGATTGTTGTATCAGCCGCACCTAACATGGTGAACAAACGCTGACCAGGAAGCCGTCCAATATGGAAGCCGTCGCGCCTGGGTTTTTTTTTTTTTTGTAACTCATCATATGTATGATGAGGGGGGACACATATTTCAAAGAGGCGGAGTCCACTCGCCACTATCACAGGAATTTCATCAGACTTGCTGGCTTTTATACCGCGTCCTCTATTCCTGCTGCTCATCGTCGGGGATTGCTTATTCGTTTAACCTTATTTCGCAACTAACCTGCTACTACAGGCCGTCCGGCTATCCGCGACCTGCCGACCCCCCCGGTAGCTTAGAGCCCAGCTATGGTGACCGTTCCCACTGGGAATCAAAGTCCCCACCCGGGTGGGGGTATTGTGGTGTGTTATGCTTCATATGTTATGTTATTTATTCTTATGTTATGGTTATGTTATGTTATGCCAAGTACTAAGCTAAACTCCCCTCCACTTAACCCATTCCAACTAATGTTATTTTAGCTCATTCAACTTACATAAACTATCCTTAATTTTATCGGTTGAATTTCAACCGCTGGGCGAACACTAGTTAAGTTAAAACGTCGGCAGTGACCGCGACTGTGAAGTCAACGTATCCAGTCAATGCAAATAGGAGAGCGCACTGATCGTAAACAGATCGGACACACCAAATGAGCGCTTATTCACAAGAAATTAATGCCAGAGAGTGGAACGAACTACTTTAAATAAATAGTTTAGAATTCTGCGGTGTGCTGGCATTGAGCACTTTGAGCGAAGGTTAATCGCTTTGAACTTAAAACTCAAAATGCAAAATATGAAAAGCGTTTGGCCCGTTCTGCTAGCGAACAGTCAGTTTGAATCGCTGATTCCTTGCCAAATGGCTTTTAATAGAGAAACAATAAAAAATACGCTTGAAATTAAATCACCGATTTACCTGCATTACCGCCGGGCGCTTGGAAGCGCGCCTTCAAGCTGTTCAAGTGACTCTGATGCTGCTCGTTGGCCATCACGGCCGCTGCTACAGCGTTGGCAACATGTTGCACTGAGGCGGCTGTGGCTGCTGCAGCGGCATTCGCACTGACGCCTACGTTGCAGCTGCCCCCAGCATTGCCACCACCGCCGGCATTACTGCCAATCACCGGTGTGTCAGCGCCATTACCGCCTGCTCCAGTGCCGCCACCGGAGCCGCCATTGCCACCGCCACTGCCGGCGAACTGTCGATGATAGTGTTGTTGGTTCTCGCTGTAGAGGCGTTGGTAGCAGGAGAGTGTCGGTATTGTCCAGGAGTTGTTTGTTTTATAGTGGAAATTGCCGGTGCCGAAAATGGAGTGCGGATTTGTGTTGGCGGAGACATTCGAAGCGGCAGCTGCGGCCAGTGTTTGACTTAGCGCCGATAGTTGGTTATGGGCGACGGCATGCGAATGTTGCTGTTGGTGATGCTGTTGTTGATGAGTGTGTTGTGGTTGTTGTTGTTGTTGCTGCTGCTGCTGCTGCTGATGGTGCTGGTGATGAGACTGCGGATGATGTTGCTGTTGCTGCTGATGATGATGCTGTTGTTGTTGTTGTTGTTGCTGATGCTGCTGTTGCGCCTGCTGTTGCTGCTGATGTGAGCTGTGCTGCTGCTGCTGCTGTTGCTGTGGTTGCTGGGAATGGTGCATGTGCTGCGGCTGTTGTTGCTGCTGCTGATGTTGATTCTGTTGCTGATGCTGGTGCTGCGCCTGTTGCTGCTGTTGCTGCTGCTGCTGCTGCTGCTGCTGTTGTATACTATTCCACTGCACATTTGCGCTGCCACTGCCGTTGCTATTCACCGATTTCGTTGAATCAATGCTGCTGGCGCTACTGCGGTTGCCATCCAGCGATGAACTGGTCACGCTGCCGCTGCCCTCATTGGCGCTGCTGTCACTATTGTTGCTGCTGTTCATGCCCGCTGCAGCTGCGGCGGCCGCATTCGAGTTCAACTGCTGGAAGTATTGATTCAACGCGCTGTTCGCATGCTCCTGGAAGAAGCCGTTGCAAGCGCTCGTCTGCGACGACATCCTGCCGCTGGCGTTGGTTGGTGTGTTCAACCGACGGCGTCGGCAATTGTCACGGCGCGCTACTTCACCAATTGGCACCGTTTTATGCACTTTACTGTTAATTTTATGCGCGCCCTTGTTGTTGTGTTTTTTTCGCTTGTTGGCTTAGGTTTCGCCAATGTACGCTGCACAAATGCGACGCGCGCGAATTAGTTGTATTCCAAAATTGAGGTTGCGTATACACCTACGATATTCACGCATTTTTTAGGGATATACTTTATTTGGGGATGTGTGCGCTGCTATTTTTCGCTCACTTTTGTTTACACTTTCACTTTTTAAGTTTTAAGTTTTGTTGGCTCTTATTTTCAACTGTATTTAGTTAAGCTGATTTTGAAGTCAATTTTGGTCACATCTGGATTGTGTGCTATCATTTTGTTTCAAATATAAAAAACATTAATCAAAGTTAAAAAAAAAACTGATGAATGGCGATTGTTTTTATGTATGCAATGCTAATGGCTGAGTATGAAGGTAAGTGGTTTTGTGAAAAGCTGTGAAAAGTTTTTCTCGCGAAATAGATACTTTTACAATTACTTCAAATATTAGAAAAAATGTATGTATGTAAGAAATTTTAGCGAACTTAATCTGATTAAACCAGTAATGTTTAACACAAAATTACTTACTACTTTTTCTTTTGAATCGAAAAGCAAGTAAGTGTTTTGACGTAATCGCAACTCTTGACATGAAAATCCATTGCTGGATTTAATTTATATGTATAACTTCTAATGCTTATGCCCATGCTAGCGAAAGACTTCATTACTAAAACCGTTCTTTTTTCTCTCAAATTCTGATACTTATTTTAGAGTACAATTTCAACTTCACTCTAGATGGAGGTGTGTGCGTCAACCACTTAAAAACTAGCGTTGCTCTCTTCATTTGGAGAAGGAGAATTTCGGTTGGTAAAATACAAATTTCTCATGAAGTTGGATCAATTTGACTGCAAACTTTTATGAGAAAACCATAGCTCAAGTAAAGTTACCGTCTTGTAGTTGTACTTTCACTAAAACTTTAGGTCTATTATTATATTTTTACATATACTGCAATGCTTAGACTGCGTATGCGGCCGTTATCTGACAACGTCGATAAGCACATAACTAGTGAGCTCCAGTATTCGATATAACTTGCTATGTATTCTAAGTGTTTTCCCTTACAAAATCAGCTTTTTACTGGTCCTGATACATATAAATACTACTTTTGCAACAGGCTTAAAAATCGATCTCTAAGTTTACATATTTAGAATAATGTTACAGAAATCGTGACTAATATTGGATCATATTGCTTCGCTTAGGGGAACCTTATATGCCTAAATTTGATCGCCAAAAATCTCCAAAATAGTAACACACGCGCCTAACAATATGCAACATCTAGTTACATGCCGCTCATACGGACAGACTTGACTGATTACACATTGTAACTGTTGCTGTTCCATGTTGTATACTTTTAGGCCCGCTGTTTTTCATTCAGAGAACTGACTGATCAATTGGCAAAGCAGAGCACAAAATGTCTGCCAATAGAACCCGAATGGTCTCTTCATGAATCTGCTTCAGAAAAGGTGGCAATACCCACTTGGCTACCAACTCTAAGATCAGCATTTGTAGGACACTTGTCTGTACTTTAACCGGTTATTATATATCTTCTAAGCAAGCGTGAGCGACTAACGAGATCAATTCGCGCATAGGTCTGCCCTTTGATATAAAACACAAACTGCGAACTTAGTCTGAGTGTTAGGGCTTGTAGCCTAAAAAAAGAGAGAAAATTACTAGTATTTTCTCAATAAAGCTCCCAGAAATTGAAGACCTCACAAATCTGGTGTTTAAGTGGTGCATGGTTTTCACCAGACTACCCACTGAGGTCCGTTTGACTAGTTCACCCTCAAAATTTTAAAAATTAAAAGCATACACCACATGTTTTTTTTTGGGTGTGCCGGTGTTATTTATCTCCTCCTAATTCCAATTGTAAAGAAATAATATTTGGAGTCACAAGAATCAATTTGCAATTGTCCGAAAACATTTTTTTAATTTTTTGAATAAGCCTTCATTATGACTACTTCAGTATGAAATTCCAAGTAAGCGTGCCATATACAAACCCCTACACGTACAGTCGATCGCAGTTGATCAAGCCCAAGCCACCAAGCCAATACTCAAATAAACATTCACAAATATACTCTACATACAGAAAAGGGTATAATCTATAAAAAGCGATGCACTACTATTTCTAAATACGCGGAACGAATAACAATACAAAAAAAACTACACTGCGAATTGTATATCAAACTATGCACTAAACAAAAAAAAAACTACAAAAAAACCCAGTCGTACACTTCTGCTAACTCTACAATCTACAATTGCCTGCATCTTTTAATGTACTAACACAAGTAAGTAAGTGTTCTACGATCGACGACTGAGTAGGCGCATGTGTGGTGAAAAAGAGCAAGGAAAATAAGCAAAACAAAGCATCAGAGTTGCGGTCACGTTGCAAGTACCTTTTCACATTTATTTTTTTGATTGTATTTATTTTCAATTTTTTCACAATTTATTCGTTTAAAGTTACAATTTTTTTTATTTTTTATTTTTATGCAGCGAATTGATGCGAGTGGATGATGTGAAGTATGTAGTACTTTTTGGTGATTCGTTTGATTTTGTTTGCCTGTTTGTGGATATGTGTTAGTTTTTTGGGAGATGATGTCTGGGTTTTTAGATTTTCAAAATGTCTTAGCGCTCAACATAAAAAGGAAATATAGAAAACTTTTCAAATACGATCCATAACTTTAAGAAGTGGATGAAATGCAAAAGTAAAAATTGCATTCTATGCTCAATGTGTGTTTGAGAGATTTGAGTGGCTCCAGCGTTGACAACTAACGTAGTTGAGTTGTTAATAAAATTTTCAATAATTTCTATTTAATGTTTTGATGTTATTGACCGATCAGTAAAGATTTGATCGCTAATTAAAAGAAAAAATATATTAACGCGTTTTTGGTGTTTTCTTTATCACTTTATATTAGTATCTAAGTTTTTGTTTTATTTTTTATTTTTATTTCTTTTTATTTTTATTTTTTGGTTTGCAACTTGCTTGTATTCAAATTAAACAAAAACAAAAATTTTTTAATTATGCTTTACACTTCTTTCACAATTATTTGTTTCAACACAACGTCAATTGTGTAAAAAGTATTATATGTATAGCACTTAAAAAATTGCTTCTTCAAAAATATTATTTTAATAAAAATGCTGTTAAATGACTGTTTATATTCTTATTTATGCTTTCTTTGAATTACTAATTGAATATAAGTAGCTTACAAGCCCTTCACTGCTAGTCAAATGATCAGAGCAACACAATCTTTCTTTTAATAAAAAGTCGTATTTCACTAATGCCACAAATTCTCGTGAAAAAATGCACAATTAATAGCTGAGATTAATTGCAATTTTTTTCTCCAACAATTTCTTGGAAATTTTTTCCATGCACAATTGGTGCCAATCTCTATGAGAAATTCCACTGTTGCACTTCCAACGAATTGCATTTGAAATATTTTACTTTTATTTTTTTTATTCCTCTAGTACATACTATAACTATATGTATTGTGTTTTATATCGGTTCCGCGATGGCTCAAACATTTTTAAAAATTTTCAATTTAATTTTTAACCAGGCAATCACTTTTGAGATCTATGTATTTTCTAGCGCGTTAACACCGAACCACCGATCAGCGACGGCATTTAGTTATTTGTCAAGCAAAAATGGGTTTTTCCGCGAGTTAATTTTCGCTAAACGACCAAACTAGCGTACGTCAATTCGTCAACGTGAACGCGAAACGACCAAATGCCGGCCTTAGCACCAGCTCAGGCGCATCGAAGCCACCCAGGCAGATCGGCAGCAGCAGTCAACGGCTATCAATGGCAGCAGTCAGCTAGCTCGCCACCAAGCAGTTAGTTTGGCAGTTTGGCAGTCGAGCAGTTGCAGCGACGCTGCAGCGACGTCCATATAGTCAGCAGTCAGCGCCCACAGCCCACATCAGTAGCGACGATAGCATGCGCCCGAACAACGTGAGCGCCACTGTGCTCCAACAAACAAATAAGAATCAAAGCAAAAAAAGATCAGCCCTAAAAAGGGGTAACTAAGCTAGTCTACGGTAGAATAGCGGGACAAGGGTGGTGAAAGGGTGGTGACAGCGGCAAGAGTTAAAGCGTTCGCGCCATAGAATATACATACATATGCACAAACAAAATGCGCATATTGAAATGAAAAGGTAGACATACATACATACACAGAAGTGTGCATGTCGTCGTTTAAAGTACAAAACCGCGTATCGTGGCTCTGCAAAACCTCGTAACTGACATTTGTGCCAAAAACGATATTTGCTCAACGGAAGCTGCTGGCCCTCCAAGCCCTTCTAACTATCGATACTTAGGCATACGAAGAAGAGATAATTGGGATAAAAGAGAGAACCGTTTTAAAATTTTGACAACCTGACATACGAGGTTTTGCATTTTCTTGATACGCGGTTTTGTATTTTAAACGACGATATATGTATGTATGTGTGTTTGTTCATGTGTGACGTCCTATTCATGGAATAATTTCTCAAAAGTAGCTGCTGCGGCCACTAAAATAGGATTTACAAGCGACGGCGTATGTGAATCAGAAGCACATCTATGCAGGTAAGTAGCTGAGAAAAAAAAAATACAAATAAATTGTGAAATGAAATAACTGCACAGCAACGGACAACATCCCCATCGGTGTGCAACAAAAACAAATAAATGAAAATGAAATAGAACTGTTCCAAAGAGGGGCCGTCCATAATCATTCTGATTGACGGTTATCTGTGCATTTAAGGGTTGCTTGTTTGGCTTGCTCTGCATACGGTGTAGGCGTGTGTGCGCGCGTGTTAGTGGGAGGCTGGCGCAGCTGCCAACGCTACTGGTCGACATTCATGCGCGCACAGGTATAGCAGAGCTGTGGATCAGATGAAATTAACT